TTATAAATGATCATGGACGAACAAGGTTAATAACTAGGAAATCGAGATAGACAAGTAGCTCACCATTGCAGCATAATTTATTTATTTATTTTTACAAAGATGCACAAACTCGTCTTATTGATACTTGAAATTTACAAACTAAAGACTCCCTTTTAGGAGGAAATCTAGGAAAGCCCCCAAAGCAGAAAACTCCCAAAACTTAATCCAATATGTAATAAGATTACAAGAATGCTCCCCCAACAAAAAATGCTCTTATAAAACGAGTGATTGCAATAATCGTACGGCATGGCAAATCCAATAAGCCATATGGAACTTTATTTTGAAATCAAATCAAACACACATCACCACCACTACCACCACCACAACACATTTAACCCATACTGATTTCGAGATTCGAATCTGCAACGTGTTGAAATGGATAAATTCTACCCAACCAAACGAGCCAATGGAAATTTATCATACCAGAACTTTGTTTTTTTAAAAACATTTGTTCATTTCTTTCAAATCAAATGCCCCAAACCACATACTTAACAATATGGAGCCACAAGTTTCTTGCCTTCCTAATCATGGCCAAGTAGGTTGAAGATATTGCTTTAAGCCCTGAAATCACATGTGCAAGAACTTGGGAAGTTCTGATACAAAGCTTCCAAAAAATTCTTTCTGTACGAATAATGGAAGAACAAGTGATGGATATCTTCATCCCCTAAAGACATAATTAACGGTAATTCGGATTCAAGGGCCAACATGATACAGTCAATGAAAGGATGGTTTTTCAGATACACACAGGCAAAAAAAAAAAAAAAGGAAGAAGAAGAAGAAGAAGATTGTATATCTCCGATCCATGGTTAATTAGTGGATATAACATACTATATACTATACGTAAGGTCTTATGTACCAGGTCATAACATCTATACCATTGAGATTAAACTGCAGATTGTAAACACTTTTACTACCTCTTTTTAATGTTGTATGTTAACTTCATCAATTGTAGTCTAAACCTTTTGCTTCCAGTGTGGCAGAAGCTTGAAGAGGAGAATCAAGAATTCTTCAATGCATATTATCTGAGATTGATGATGAAAAGCCAGATTATTGAATTCAACCGGTTGCTTGAACAGCAAGCAAGAATGATGCACCAGATACATCCTTGTGCGGTTACTGCATTATCTAGTTCTAATGGATCCCACGTCCAACCTAGTAAGGCCGCTTTTCTCCCTGCTGGAAGCTTGATCTCATTTGTTACTTGTTGCGTTGCTACATATTGGATGTTAAAATAGCTTTCTATTGACTGAAGATAATTATATTCTGTATGTTTTTGCCAATACCTGAGCTGTAAGTAAAGCCAGATTCTGTCTGATGCAAGTTTGGTCATCTTTGAAAAATTTGGAATGAAAAAAACAGTAGGATTTTCTCAGTGTCGGAAAAGGATTGTAGTGTGGTTAGTATTAACGCCTTTTTGTTTCAATTTAGTCAGGGCTCTCTGGTTGGAGTTCTTGTTATTATGTTTAATCCTAGGTTTATCCAAATTGGAGGGGTTTATAACTCTTTTGGCTTTTGTCGGCTTTTACCATTATTATGAGATCCCACATCGGTCGGAGAGGGAAATGACGCATTCCTTATAAGGGTGTGGAAACCTCTCCCTAACAGACGCGTTTTAAACCTTGAGGGAAACCCAGGGAAAGCCCAAAGAGGAGAATTTCTGCTAGTGGTGGGCTTGGGCTGTTATAAATGGTATCAGAGCCAGGCATCACAGCCAGCGAGAACGCTAGGCCCCGAAAATGGTTGATTGTGAGTTCCCACATTGGTTGGAGAGGGGAACAAAGCATTCCTTATAAGGGTGTGGAAACCTTTCCCTAACAGACGCGTTTTAAATTCTTAAGGGAAAGTCCAAAGAGGACAATATCCACTAGCGATGGGGGTAGGTTTTAGGCTGTTACAATCATTTTCCTTTCTGAACACAGACTCCTTTTATTAGAATGAAATAGCTAGCTATGGTCACCACCTCAGCAATCCTCCCAAAATTTTATATTGTTCCCTGATTCAAGCTTGAGTTTGTGGCAATTTCAAGACACTTTCTCCATTTATAATAGAACTCCATGGTTGTTGACATCTTATAACCTCCTCCATTCCTCTTCATTCTTGCTATCCATAATCGTACACTTTTATCCGTTCTCATTTCATTTATTCAACACACCCTGAGACGAGGCATTTCAACTGAATGCATGTGGTAGTTAACTTTACAGTATTTATGTACATCAATCATTGACTACTTGATTGATTTAGTACTTTGTTTGAACAGTACACCAGAACTGCTACGCACCAGAGCATACAGGACCTGCTTTGAAACAAGATGACACAGACCACCCTGTTGGTGTCAGCTTAGGCAATGTTTATACTAATGGTACCCAACCTGTTCACTCAACTATTCACACCACCGTGGATTTGCCTTCTCATGCCAGAAATGATGCTGCACCTCAGAGTTCAAATGTGGGTTTGTTTCAAGGAATGAATGGAGGAATTATCAAAGTAGAAACTGGATATTCAAACAGTCCTCCGTACATGTTTGGAACAGAGGACAATGTCCTTGATGCACGTCAATCAATTGGGAACGCGTCGGTTGCATCGTTTGCTAGTGTTGATTCCAACACATCATCCTTCAATGAATCACTTCTTGATACGGATCCCTCTTCATTTGGGTTCATTAATCAAATTACTAGGAATTTTAGTCTCTCAGATCTGACAGCAGACTTTTCTCAGGGGTCAGGTATCTTTTTCACTCCCTATGCTGATGTAATTTAGAATATATTATAGTCTCTTAATTTTAAGTTCTAAGAGATCAAGAAGATTCCTAAAGAAAAGAAATCAAACTTTTTCCCTTTTGTTAAGCTTCGCCTTTTTCATGTCAACAAGATGTATTCTAAGTTATAATAACATGACTTTGAACTGCCAGATATACTAGAGAGCTATGCCAGATGCCCCCTTTTACCAACAGAGGCTGATAACATCATTGATACTCATGAGAATGGAGACCGTCTTGGTAATGAGTTTTCTGTATCTGTTGACCCTAGCTTGTTGTAAGATTCGACAGGTGCTTACTGACTTAAAATTTCTTCGCATTTAAAGATAGTAAAAGGTTGGACAATGTATCAGAAAGCTTGAGCTTCGAAGATTCAAGACACAATTAGCTGGTAAGTTATCTGTGCTTAAGCGAATATTTTAAATGTATGCTTTTCTTTGATCGTTCTTCCTAGAAGAATTAAGACCAACTATACACACTCATGGCATATTCTTTTTCTTTCAAGTTGGTGCACTGAAATTGTGGGGGGTGCCCATCGATTCTTCAATATGATGCAATTATGAAAGCACTTCAGTTTGGATTCCAATTCCTCTTTATAAGAATCGGTTGGAGAGAAGAACGAAACATTCCTTATAAGGGCGTGAAAATCTCTCTCTAGTGGACGTGTTTTAAAACCTTGAGGAGAAGTCCAAAAGGTAAAGCCCAAAGAGGATAATATCGACTAGCGGTAGGCTTAGACTGTTACAAATGGTATCAAAGCCAGACACCGGGCGATGTACCAGCGAGGACGCTGGCCCTCAAGGGGGTGGATTGTGAAATCCCACATCAGTTGGAGAGGGGAACGGAGCATTCCTTATAAGGGTGTGGAAATCTCTCGCTAGTGAACGCATTTTAAAATTGTGAGGGGAAGCTCAGAAGTGAAAGCCCAAAGAGGACAGTATCGGCTAGCGGTGAGCTTGGGTTGTTACAGTTTAGCCTTTAAACTCAAGTTTGTATCTAAAACTCTATAAAATATGTAATAGGTTTTTTTAACTTTCAATTGTATCTAATAGGTACCTGAAGTTAGACAAATGTTTAACAAATTTCTAAACTTTAAATTAAGAACTTTTGAAAATTAGAATTTTTTTTTTTTAGATATAGAATTGAATTGTATGTCTAATAGAACCCTAATCTTTCAATTTTATAATTTTTAAGGTCTATGAATTTTAAAAATGTCAATAAGCTGAGGACTTATTAGATACAAAATTGAAAATTTAAAGATCTGTCTAACAAAAAAAAACTAATAATTGAATGGCATATTAATCCCTCCTAAAGTTCTGAAATTGACAGCTACCTAAAACTTAAAGTACTAACATGTAAAATACTATCATGGCTCTTATGAAATGCCATTATGTAACCATTTTTACTGACATTCAGAGAATGGACGCTGCTTCTTGATGAACTTTTAAGCAGTTGTCTATGATAAAAGACACATGGGTTTGCTAGCAACCTGATAACTGACGCATCAAATATCATCATTTTTTTGCTATACTTGTGCAAATCAGATGATTGTACATACTGGAGAGGCATTCAGATTGGCGCCGGATACGGGATTCTCGTTTCGAACACAGGCCCCAGATTACCTTAGCAGGTTAGCATGTAGAATGAAAATAATGCATCACAGTGATTCTGAAAACAATTTTAGCCTTCAAGTGATTTGAGTCTGAAACTGATCTTTAATGTTTGATGTTTTGCTCGATGATTACGGTACTGGAAGTGATTGTAATGATGTGATGATTATGATGAGTGTAGATTGTAAGAGTGAAATACTGAATGTTGGTTAGGTTGACCTTTGTGATTCACTGCCAACGAAGGTGGCTTCACTGTATTTTCTTTGATTAAAGAAGCCAGTTGAGGTGAGTTTATGCCTGGTAAGCATCAAATTCTGAGTTTATGAGTTTAAATACATTGGGCCGGGTATACAAAATAACTTAAACCATCGAATACAATGATCTGATGGTTATGATGAGCGTAGATTGTAAGAGTTAAATTCAATTATTTTGATATTGTTCTCTTTGGACTTTCTCTCTCGGGCTTCCCCTCAAGGCTTTAAAACACGTCTGCTAGGGGAGATTTCCACACCCTTATAAAGGGTCTTTTGTTCTCCTTCCCAACCAATGGAGGACATCACAATTTCTCTCTTCTATTTACACATTTGGGTAAGTTTTTTTTTTTTTTTTTCTCTTCGGTCGATCCTGTCAATGTTTTTTTTTTTTTTTTGTTATTTACATATGTTTTTTCATAGATAATTTTCTTCAATAAGACCAATATAAAAATAATTATACACGAGTATGAAATCGTGTTTAAACAGAACATAGTTACACATGATTTTCTAGTCATTTTCGTCCATGGCATATTTGATTTTGCCCTAAAATTGTTTTTCTTAAAAGGTTGTACCAGTCTTCTACGTCTTTTGCATTTATGATTTTCAATTTAGCCTTCTATTGTCTTGTTTATACTTTTGATCTAACACTCGAGTTTAGGCGAGAAGTTTTATATTTGATTTTTCCTTTTAAAGTCAAACTTACATAATTTTGTTATAAGCCTTAGTCTGACTTGTTTTGCCCAACCCTTGGACCCGCATGTGACTTAGTGTAGAGCCTACAACCCGATCCATCCTCTTGACACGTCTTACCTGGGAGTGCCAAGTGTCAATACGAGATAATTTTGTAGAATTTCACGCCTGGAAAGGGTCGAATGCGTGAATCAATAGTTGCCACGTGTCTCTCTAAGGGTGTGCATATCCTTCACCCAGGTGCGTTTGTATTCGCTCGTGGGGAGCTCTTTTGGCTCATGAAAGCGTCTATGTTGCGTATGAGTCGTGTTTTGTCTCGTACTAACACTAATTTTACTTGAATTAGGGCCTCCTAAAGAATTTTTAGAAATTTTGGAGCCTTTTAACATGCATAAAACTAGCTCAAGAAGGCATGTGTCATTCAAGTAAGCAACCACACGGACTCTAGGCAAGTAATACATATAGGGATCGCTAGGACGTCCTAGCATGCCAGTATTTTTTTCCTTAAATGGATCGAAATTGCATATTAAAAACTTTGGAAGCACGTTTTTGGATGAGTATGTACCCTATGTATTTTATGAAAATAAAATTACTACTATGCCCTAGATTGAGATTTTCAAGAAACATGTTTTATATTTTATGTAATGCTAGAGAGAGAAGATGCATAACAAGAATACGAGTTAGGAAACATGGACAAGTAAGTTAGTAACAGGTAAGAAATTACCAAAATGCTGTTATGATAAAATTTGTGATGAATATTGTTTTATATGCTTTCCACTGTATTAGAAAGGTGCATGGGCTATTGTCCTTTGTGCTTCGGGCGAGGTGGATGTTATATCCTCATTGAGCTTGTTTGCTTGTTTGTTTGTTTGTTTGCATGAATATTTTAATTAATGTTTTTCAGAGTTTTAGGTGATTGATAGGATATCTCCCTAATCATCTTCTACGAATATCGAGACTATATAAACAATGCTCTGGGTGATTGATAAGGTAATTTCTCTAGCAAAGCATGCACAAGAGGGTCGAGCTAAGATTAGGGCGTGATAGGTAGAGTAGATTCAATATTAATTTGCGTCAGTATGTTTTCAGTAGACCTTGAACCCCCAGGATTGAGAGCGATAAAAGGTTTAGACCTGTGTGCACCCCGAGATTTGATTAGTCTCGAGAAGCTAACCTCGAACATCCTAAAAGTGAGAGATTAGATTTAAACTACCTAGACGCCTAAATAACTTAGTAAACCTCCATGGCATTCAAAACTGACAAAGGTAGCTCTTCAAGCCACTAGTAGCATATGCAGTATCATCAGTTTAACATTTGATAACCGTATCATGGATGAGACTACTTATATTTGTGTGACCTAATAGTTCAGTTGGATAACCGTGAAAATTCATCCAATGATGGGACATGGATCACTCTTCTAATGCAGATCCATCTTATGGTGGGACGTGGATCACACGAATAATGCAGATCCATCTTATGGTGGGACATGGATCACACAGGTAGTCGTTGGAGCTGGCACGCACAGGGAGTCACTCTCCTGACTTTGGGTGACTATATGTTGTGGATGAGTTCATTAGCTAACTTTCCAGAGATGACGGTATACTAACACACACAATATTGTCCCCACTAGATAGAGAGTTCTACGAGGTAGTGCCTCAACTCCAGACGCTGGTTATATACTGGCTAGACAAAGAAAGCTACCTAAATCAAATAACAAAAGAGCAATTCGCCACAGAGATGGGACTTGTCGCTTGGCCGACCTGTGACATCAGAAAAGGGTGAACCACCTCCTTCGAACCCATAGTGAATCTATGAGGAGGTAAAGTACCACTTGGAAGTTCGAGGCTCCCTAGATGCTCAGATGGTAGTAGGAACTAGGCCCGAACTTCCTAGAGTCCAAAGTAAAGCCCATGAATACCTAATAGGATAAAGTAGATTGCTTACTAAGTATTTTTATAATCACCCTTTTTCCTTCTTTTGTAGGTGTTCGCAGATTGCTAGTCGAGGTGGAGAAGCATTCGAGAGCTGTGCAGTCACAGAGGGGGTCGTTTTAGAGTACTAGTCCACTTTTGTATTTGAGAGCAATCCAGTTCATTCCATGCATCTAAGTTTAGTTTATCTGAGAATCGAGTTAGAATATTTATTAAGTAGTGTATTCTATAGAAGATAGTCATTGGATTACATTAAGGGACTAACCCAAGAATTAAAGGTAAAACGACAAAAATGCCCCTACAATTTTCTTAAGATATTTTATCGTCCAAACAACCTCCAAATAACTACTTAAAGAAAATGACTAAACTACCCCTAAACGTCCTTAATAAGGATTCATAATTGGCCTAAGAACCTCAAAGAACATGTTATGAACTCTATAAGGACGTAAGCAAGTTATTTTGACAAGCTCACATGTTCATTGCTTATGACTATGGATTATGGCTTAAGAACTCATGATAAGACTTAAAATGACCTTTGGAGCTAGAACCCGTTAAGCCCACCATAACCTAAGAACATGAAGATATAAAATGTTATGAGTAACTCGTGCATGATATTAAAAGGATTATAACATGTTTGGGCTATGAACCAAGACTCAAGTGGGAAGAGATGAAAATATCCCTAATGACCTTATAAGAATTCATAAACCCCAAGAGATACGTTATGACGTGTATGATATTATGGTCGTGAGAATGATGTGTCGACATGAATAAAATATTTATGCTTACTTTAGGGCAACGAACTCTAAGCATGCCATGAAGTTAGGGCGTGGTACAAATATGCATTACACACCCCATGCCCTAAAGTTACCATGACCTCTAAAATTGCAAGGTAATACTCTAACCATATCCTAAGTGACTCTTCATGTCACGATCCAAGGGTCACTTAGGTAAAAGCTTGAAAACTTAAAAGATAAATGGTAAAACGACGGTAAATTTTTTTTTGGCTTTAAGACAAAATATAAATGTATTTTATTTAAAACTCTAAAATAGAGTTTAAACACATTGGGTGGTAAAAAAGCAACTTCAAACATTAAAAGGTTAAAACACGGCGTGGCTTTGTGTGGCACCGACTCCAAATCACTTTCATCCTCGACCATTTCCTTCATGTCATTTGAAAAATATGAATGAGTACAAAGACCCAGTAAGTAGCCTACTTGTAAGCTTTAATTATGTCTTTGGTGGATGCTAGGGTACTACACTCTTTCTTGTCGTGTTCTTGTTTTTGTCTCGAGAACTTAGATCCTTACGTTATGTTCTTGAGTTCTCAATTCTTATCTTTGCTTTAACCTGAGTACCTTGGTCCTAGGTTCTGTTCTTGAACGTAGTTCTGATTTAAGAACCTTGGTTTTAAGGTGCTAGGTTCCTAAATCTGGAAACTTGGGTCTTAATCCTTGTTCTAGTTCATATACTTAGTTCTTGTTCTTAATTCCTATCCTTGTCCTTAGTTCTTGTTCTTGGTTCTTATTTCTCGAGTGAACTTGGGGCTTACATAGTTCTACTCTAGGACATGGATATGTGGGGTAAACCTACTTGACTTGATTCATTACCTTAAGGTATCATATTATTACTTTAATATCAAAGGCTACCTAAAACTTACTTGAATCGTGGCCTTAAGATAGCGTATTGATTACTTGAAAAATAAAGGCTATCTAATGCTTATCTTGAGGTAGCATTATGATTACTTGAAAATCAAGAACTAATCTTGAATTCATCTTGATTCAGGGTAACCTCGTGATAACTTGAAAATCAAGGGCTATCCTAAAGCTTTTCTTGACGTAGTATTCTAATTACTTGAAAGCTAATCTTGAGCTCATCTTGATTTAGGGTAGCTTCCTGATTACTTGAAAATCAAGAGTTATCCTAGAGCTTAGTTAATTTCCTTAACTTAAGGTAGTTTCGTGATTACTTTAAAATCAATGGCTAACCCTAAGTGTAACATAAAGTTTATAGCACACCCTGATCATGGTACTTAATAACATTCAAAACCCTAAAATGAATACAAGTCATGATCCATTCTAAGCCCATTGGCCACAACTTCATTTATAGATGAAACTTGCACCGCCTTTGATCGTTCTAGAATTAGAACGAATTTTAACTTAAATTTTTTAGCTAGTTCATAAAAAAAATATCCACTTTGATGATGATGAGGGTGCTATAGACTTTGGTTTTGAATATCAATTATTAGATCTAAGAAACCTCAAGTTTTCGTAAACATACTCAAATTTCCAGCTCAATCTAACCGTTGGACCTTAAGATATGGGTTAATTATGAAATTGAATTTGCAACAAAAGGAGTATTTTCATACCTTAGAACCTTATGGACATTTTTGTAATTTTCTGTTTTTAAAATTTTATTTTTAAAAATAAACTTTTTCTAAAATTTCTTTACCCTTATTTGGTCTTTTTTTTTTTTTTTTTTT